GATCTCACAGAGTCCCCGGTTGGGGGCTTCGTTGTGGAGTCTACCGCAGACCGAGGAGGGTTTTCCTCCCTACGCCTTCGGGTATATTGGGGGCGAAAACTCTGACTGTTGTGTGTGCTTATGCACCCAACAGCAGTTCAGAGTATACGGCCTTCTTGGAGACCCTGGAAAGAGTCCTGTATGGGGCTCCTGAAGGGAACTCTTTAATCTTGCTGGAGACTTCAACGCACATGTGGGCAATGATTGAGACACTTGGAGGGGCGTGATTGGGAGGAACGGCCCCTCTGATCTGAACCGGAGTGGTGGATTTCTGTGCTAGTCATGGATTGGCCATAACAAACACCATGTTCGAACATAAGCATGCTCATAAGTGTACGTGGTACCAGAGCATCCTAGGCAGAAGGTCCATGATCGATTTCGTTATCGTATCATCGGACCTGAGGCCGTATGTTTTGGACACTCGGGTAAAGAGAGGGGCGGAGTTGTCAACTGATCACCATCTGGTGGTGAGTTGGGTCGATTGGCGGGGGAAGCCTCTGGATAGACCTGGTAAGCCCAAACGTGTAGTTCGGGTGAACTGGGAACCTCTGGAGGAGGCCCAAGTTCAGGAGGCCTTCAACTCACACCTCCGGCGGAGCTTTTCGGGCATTCCTGTGAAGGTTGGGGACATTGAACCAGAGTGGTCGGTGTTCAAAGCCTCTATTGCCGAAGCCGCGGCGGGGAGCTGTGGTCTCAAGGTCCTAGGTGCCTCAAGGGGCGGTAACCCTCGAACATCCTGGTGGACACCGGTGGTCAGGGAAGCCGTCCGACTGAAGAAGGAGGCCTTCAGGGATTGGTTATCCCGGGGGACTCCCGAGGCAGTTGCAAGGTACCGACAGGCCCGAAGGGCAGCAGCCTCAGCCGTGGCCGAGGCAAAGCAGCGGGTGTGGGAGAAGTTCGGAGAAGACATGGAAAAAGACTTTCGGGCGGCACCAAAGTTGTTCTGGAAAACTGTCCGACACCTCAGGAGGGGGAAGCAGGGAACCATCCAAGCTGTGTACAGTAAGGATGGGACGTTGTTGACCTCAACTGATGGAGTGTTAGGGCGTTGGAAGGAGCACTTTGAGGAACTCCTGAACCCGACAACTCCGCCCTCTCTGTTAGAGGCAGAGCTGGAGTCGACGGTGGATCGAGTAACCCTGCTCACCCAGGACATCGAGGACAGCTTTCAGGCCAAAGACAAAGCTGGGGTAGTGTTGCTCGACCTAACGGCCGCATATGACACCGTCTGGCACCGTGGACTTCACCTGAAGCTGCTGAGGACAATCCCAGACCGGCATATGGTGAAGTTCCTAATGGAGATGCTGTCCAACCGCAGCTTCATCCTTCGGACCAGCGATGGCCAGCGAAGCAGACTGAGAAGATTGAGGAACGGGTGCCACAGGGGTCTGTCCTCTCACCACTGCTGTTTAACATCTATATCCACGACCTCCCGGAGATAAACATCCAGTAAATAGGTTACGCGGATGATCTGGCCATCATTGCTTGCGTCCAACCCAACATGTCAGCGGTGGGAACAGGGTTCTCAACCAGGACATGGGCATCTTGGCTGCCTACATGCGCAATGTGGCGTCTGCAGCTCAGTATGGGGGACGGACTGTGTCGGCCGCATACCACCTGTGTGCAACAAGAGAGGCAAAAAGGGAACTATCGGTGTCCATCTGACAACCAAACGTTTGGAGCACCAACCTAGCCCCCAAGTACCTCGGGTGTTCGGCTGGGAACAGACATTGTCCTATAAACAAACACCTGGAAAGAAGGTGAGAGCTGAGTGACCAAGTTGACAGTGGGCAAGGTCTCGTCTTATCCGGCCGCCCTCGCTGGTACAACCCTGGGGTGCTCGCCAGAGACGCTACGAATATCCACAACAAGGCCCTGGTGTTTTCTCTGGCTGGAATATTTGTCCCCAGTTTTCTGGGTGTAGAAGCCCACATGTGAAAGGGAAGATTGTTTCCTGTACGGGATCGTCATGGTAATCTTATCTATATAAAAGCATTTGGGTAAAATACCACTTATATATGCTCCTTTGATCTTCACAGGAAGAGTGACAAGTAGCTATTTGCCTGAATCCTGAGGATGGTTTTTTACATGTGCCAAGTGCAGAGTGCTAGGAATGTTTAGGTACTTTGTAGTGGGACCACGATATCATTTTTTTTTTGGTCCTTTGTTCATGGATTCCACTCTGGGCTGACCGAGGAATAAGACGCTTGTAGTTGAGAGAAAAAATATAGAATGTCCCAGATGCGGATTGAAGAAAGTTATTCCAAGAAAAAGGCAAATATAACGTTTTTAACACTATTGTTATATACTATTATTTCAATGTTAAAGGCACAATAGACCAATGCTGGTGACGCTCCACCAGCAAAGGTCTAAAACTGTTTGGCTTCAGTTCAGACACAGTAGGCTGCAGCACCTCCCTTTTAATTATTTGCTGTCGTGTCATTTTTTTTTTTTGTGAAAGTCAACCTGCAGAGTATACATTAATAATACCACTATAATAATGATGTTTTTCTTTTAATTAAAAACAACTGGTATTTAAAGGTAAATTCAGTGAATAACCACCACATACATCGGGATACGACAGTTACTCTACGTAGGGCTTTATGTAATCTCATATATTAATCATAAGACAAATTCAAGGTGGTTATTATGAGGATGCCGTTTACATTCGTAAATAAGCAGGCAAATTTGGTCTTAAGAAAATTTTGGGAGTTATCAGCTGGTATAACATTTACACCACTTGCAAGTAACGATTGACCTCATGAAAAAGACACAGCTTTATTTGGTGTGCTGCCTTCTCTGCCTTGGAACTATGCAACATTTTTTTTAAAATTTACTTTTGGGTTATCAAAATTTTACTTGCTTGGCGCCAAGTAATCGGTCCTTCAGAAGAACACAAATGTTATTGTGTATAAAAAAACTTACACAGTCGAGTAACGGCTCAGAAAAACACTGTGTATTTAATTACTACTCGCGAGGACAAAGTGTATAATACTCGGTAAGACTATACAGATAGTATACACTGCTCGTGTTTTGACATATTAGTTACACATGTCCGCTAAATGTAGATAAACACAGCCTCGTAGACATCTGGTATATTTTATGTTGTGTTTATTAGTATGTTTTACATAGTCTTTGTTTCTGAGTATTGATATCGGACCTCAAGTGAGAACTCTTTGACCATGTAATTTTGTGTTATGTCATTTAATCTCACACCGCTCTCCTAGGTAACGAGACTCAGAAAACACTGTGTTTATTTGTAATATAAATTAATTAACACGTAGCGCAGCTTACACAGGGGCTGTTCTGTTTCAAACCACTGTGTTATTTTTGATATAATATAAATGGGGCTAACACAAGCGCAAGGAGTGACAACGGTTGTTTTCTCAGCTTTTATAGACACTCTTGTATATTTGGTGTTATATATGATATTACATCTTGTTTTACTAATCAGAGTCTTCTCCTGAAAACACCGTGGATATTGAGGAATGAAGTAGGTTCTCTCGGGTTTTTTCATGAAAAATGTGATTGGCTGTCGTCATTAGCGATGTGCCAAGATGCGAAGATGGTCGTGTGGGAGGAACGTATATGGTCTCACAGGCTCTCTATTACTATTACGGTAATAAAACAAGTGTCCAACAGAAATACGCCACATCTCGACCTCTTGGTGGATCCAGCTGTCAATCACAGAGTCCATTGCATCACTCTGCCGCACACTCGGCCTGTGATTGGCCTAACCACTCGCCTCGCCCGGGGTGCCGGCAGGTCCTCCTCGGCTAGCGCTGTACTGGTCTGCCAGATAACGGAAATTGCTCTCCAGCCTTCTTGAGCCATAAGAGTGATTAGAAGGACTTCGCAAATACATGCGTGCGCTTGCGTGCCAATGTTTTCTCTCATAAAAGGAGCGAAAACATCAGCGCAGGGACGCTAAACAGAGACGGGATTATAAACTCTACTTTTATTACTCTCTTGGTAGAGATCTTCCACTTTTGACGGCAGGCATGGATCTAGGCTCTCCGCCGGCCCCTAAAGAGTTGAACAAAGCGTTGGTCTTGAATATTTGTGTTATTGATATTTTAGACAGAGAAAAAACAGAAAGAAAACAAGGTGACTCGGAGATCTCTCGAGGCTTGTTAGCTATCGGGAGCTCAACAGGCTTAAACAGTAGGTTAGTGAAACGGCTCTCCTTCTGACGGCACCCGTGACCACAGAGATAACTCATGTAATTAACTAATAAGGTTTCAAGATTTGTGATTTAAATAATGCATACTAAACACTAATTAATTTGTGGTTGTTGTTCTGCTGGTATTTAGTGTTTTGTGGAACAATAATTTAGTGAAAGTGACAGTGTTGACTGGGGGGTTGATCCCGTAGAGTGTTAGGGTCCAGGGACGCCCTGGGACAGTGCATGAATATCCTGCATGGCCCCTGCAATGCAACTTCCCTGGAGAACATGAAAGTTTAGGAGCGAAGGACTCGTAAAATAATCATTGCAAATAATAATAAAAAGCTTTAAAATGGCTGTTAAGTAAGAGCAACACTTTCCACAACACTCTTCATCGGATAATAGAACAGATTTGGACTTTGCCTTAATATACCTATCACCGTTTGTTTAGGGGGTAACCATAGTTGTCACTAGTTGTTTTCTAGAGACCATCTCTCAAGCAGTATGTGTATAGCAAGGTAGTCGCTCTAAAAGCTCTCAAATACAAAATATAATTATATTAATGTCCAAAAAATAATAATTACCACAACCCAAGGCAAATGTCATGATAATACGGATAATTAATAATAAAATAAATTACACACCCTAACTACTACAATTCATAACTAATTAAAAACGCTGGAAATTATCTTGAATCTCGCGCCCAATAAATAATAGTGCAATATACGTGAAAGAAGCGCTTGTTACCAATTGGCATCAGTAACATTACTAAAACGCACAAATCCGCGTATTATAAAAGTATTGTACTTCTACTTTTTATTATTTTGAGTCAGATAGGAATGTTTGTTTATCAAAAAACAGTAGTATTTTAGAGAGTTCAATGTTGTTACTTTAAGGGATTTTAAGGATTAAACTATATATGTTTGGTATATAATAACGCTTAAATTTATAGTTAATATGTATAAAGATACGCTAGTTCCTTTGGAGGAATGAAACCGAGGTATTAAAAATATATTATATTTAAAACGTTCCTGGCTTGTGACACGCCTTGTGATTTAATAGCCCTCATGTTTTCTCCCGGAGTTCCCCCTCTCAAAAACGCGCGTACTGAAGGGCAGGCAAGCGCACCATTGGCAAGCTCAAGCTCTGTTTCACCTCCGCGGAAGCGCTTTCCGACTGCGCAACACCGCATGCATAGGCTAAACTCCCCTGGTATTTGCAACGGGCCGTCGAGCCCATACATATCAGCAGGACGGACTAACATAAACCAATTATCCCACTAGACGCGGTCTAATTTATACGTACAGCTTATCATAATATAAACCGCGAAATAAGATTAATATGTTATCATCTGACCTAAAATGCTAGCGCGTCGGAGTAAAAACACGCAACTCAGAAGCGAAGCGCCTGTTTTACAGCATCGAGTTACCTAATCCTCTCTATGTAGGGGTAGGGAAGTATTTATCTTTGGAATTTTGATACTTGTTTGTTTTTGTCATAATTATATAAGAAATGCATATATACAAGCATGCTGCAAAGGTTATAGACTATCAGAAGATTTTATTTGGCTGTTTCTTATATTGTAAAGTGATTGATATTGCGAAAGAGGCCACAAGTGTTAATATCTTGTCCTAATTATCATTTCCTCTCTCTCATCATATTTGCTTTGTATTCAATCCCTACCTGTTACACTCACACATCTGCCTAACTGTTTCGGCTTATGTGAACCTTATTTGTCTAGCGCCCTGTCCTATTACTCTGTTCGTCGACGCACTGAACATCAAGATATTTTCTACGGGTATTTTTGTGTTTTATATTGTTTTGCTCTCTCTCATATGGAGTTCTATTCATTTTTTCCCCATATATATAAATCAATATATAATGGTTCTTCTATACTTCTTGAGCTTCTATTTTAATTCTGATCTAAGAAATTTATATTTTCAACATTACTTTGGTATTAACTAATTTAATTTCATAAACTTCTCTATCGGTCCGAATCAGGAAGGCACGTATTCAATTCTACATCAACACAGAATATTAAAGATTTGTGTCTATATGTTCGGTAATCGTACTAGGGAGTTATCTATTAATTTCCTAATTCATTTAGTATTGCGACTATATTTAAAGTTGAACCATTTTTATTGTCCACTCTTCTCATTCGCCACCTTTCTGCCTACATATCAACTCAAAATATTGCGAGCTTATTTATACCTACAATATTCCAAATTCATTAATCATTGTCTAATGTGGGCGATGTTTTTATTGTCTGTGCAAATGCCAGTAGTAACATTAGTATGTAACTAATACCACCTGCTCTCTCCTCTACTGGCTGCTACACAGGGAAATCTACCTCCTAATTCCAGAATTCGTGCACAGCGAGAGAGTGACTCGATATACCGTTGCACCGAAGGCCAAACACACCCCACTAAGCCGGCACTATACTGTCCCAGGCGATAAAACAAACATAGCCCGCATCCTAAACTCTGGGTGCATCAGCTAAAGTGTCGGAAGCTGTAATAGATAGTCAAAGAAGACAGGATCCTCCATACATTCCCCCCCAGCATGGAGGTAAAAAGAATATACCATCATGCAATAACTTCATCTCACAACTAGAACGCCGTCTATGCTCAGATAAATTAAATCCTCAGACGGCAATAAGTAATCTATCACTTAAGTGCATGTTATTCCCTTCTCCAATCCTAGCTGAGGCTCTTTATCAAGGAGACGTTTCACATGTGGGTGCCATCAAGTCTTCTGTCACTTTCCAGTTTCCCACTCTTAAAGGCACCTTGGCTCGCGCTAATGTTCACATCTTTAATCAATTGACCTAAGGGGATACACACAAGGCATCAGTAGAAAGTGGTCCACTATAGCTGCGCCTAATAACGTCGAATTCTCAACATTCCGGTATGGACCATGTCGTGTATATATGTCACTTTATATTTCTTCAAATACTTTGTATGATCTTCTCGTAACATCACCATGTGTCCCATCATTGGATGTGTACCACCGGTGTGATCTTAACGTACTTGAGACTTCGCCAATCTTGGAAGAGTGATGTTCTCTCTTCTATCGTAATTTCACACATGTGTCCCCCGGTAGTGGGTCATTTTGAGGAGGCGCACTACCCATAGAAGTGCCTGCCCTTCTCCTCACACTTCAACGATGTGGTCAACCCCTGATTGTGTCAGGAAGCACACCCTCTCATAGAAGTTAGAATGTTCTTCTTCTAATCCCCTCACCATGTAGTCCGTTCCCCAGTGTGTCAGGAGAAACTCATCCTCACTGTAGTGATGTTCGTCTTCTCCTCCTACGAATTCCACACAGGTCCTGCTCCCCAGTTGGTTCTCGCAGGGGGAGAGACTCACTAACGTTAAGTGATTCCTTATGTCGTTACTTCTGACAAGCGAACACATGTGTCCTCGGAATGCTTGCTCAAGGAGACCTCACCTATCCACCCTCCTCCCCTTTTCGACGTGAACCATCTGTCCATTGCTTCATTCCACACATGTGTTCCCTACACCAGAGACGCGGTGTGTCAGGAGACTTCACTATTGCGTGTGAATGTTCTGTCTATCTGCATATGTCCACCGATGTGTCGCGCCCCGCGCGTTGCTGTCAGGCAGACTCACTAAGTGATGCTCTTCTCTACATCACATGTCGGTTCGCCAAGTGGTCAGGGAATCGGATCCCTCACTACGATGCTCTGTTCGTCAACGTGTCTTCTCTATCAGTGCGCCTCAGATGTGGTCTCCCGGCCGGTCTCTGTGCACCCCATATGGCGACGGACTCACTAAGTTAAGTGCTCGCTCTCCTCTCGTACATGCCCCATTTAGGGGGCTGCCGATAGACAATACGGAGCCCTAATTTTGTGAATAATCAATGAAGAAACGGATTAATGACTTTCTCTTTTGGGGACTGCTTACTGGTTTCTGCACAATTTCTCAAACGCCTCTGATTTCTAATCAACTTTTAGGATTCTAGCTCTCGCGAGCGCGTGGTTGGGTTCGCATGTGGAATATAACTTGTGAACAATCGGCACGGAGAGCAATAAAGGCATGCAACTATTTGATTCTCGATAATCAGGGACCAATAGCATAGTGATTATTAGAGAAAAAGATGGGGTCGTGGTGTCTGCTCAAATTAAGTCCATGTTGTTTAATCGCAAT